CCGCCGCCGCCGCCAGCGAGAGTCCCGCCAGAGGCCGTGGCCATCATGGGCCCCCCGCCGCCGCCGCCGACGGCGCCCCCTGACGCGCCGCCGCCGCCGACCCGCCCGCCACCGCAGACGGACGTGCTCTCGCAGCAGGCCCCAAGCGCTGCAGCCCTGAACGTGGCCCTCGGCGAAGACCTCGAGCGCCAGATCTTTGGGCCCGCAGGGCAGGCGGGGGGCAGTGGCGACCTCGGCGGGGAGGCGCGGGCGCTGCCGTCGCAGGTCTTCGCCGCCATCGCGCAGGGAACAGGCCAACAGGCCTGAGGAATAACGCCCAGCAGGTTCTAGGGCCCTGACAGGCCGCGTGAGTACATGCCAAATTGTCTACTTGCTGCTTCCAGTAGTGCGGCGGGCCCATAGCGGCACCCCCACTCGCGTGGCGTCACCTGTAGCCTGTGCTTAGGCTAGGCAAATGGCTACCTGTGCACCCTGCCACCTTGGCTCGCCAACTGGCTTGCCATCTCGGCCCCCTCGCGCTCACTTGCGCTCGTTGGCCTCGCTGGCGGTGCCGGGGCAGCCCCGTGTACTGCAGCGTCGCCGTCGGGCGCCTGGCCATTTTGGCTTGCCACCCTGGCCTCATCTCGCGCCTTCTTGCGCTTGTAGGCTTGGGTGGCGGTGCTGGGGTCGCCCCGTGTGCTGCTACGCTGCCGCCTGTGCCTTACTTTTTGCTGTAGGGACCAGCTGCCCTCGGACAGGCGCCAGTTGCTGCATGCATGTCAGACCTGCCCCTGGCTTGCCACCCAGGCCTAGCCTCGCGCCTGCCCGCGCTAGTCGGCCTGGGTGGTGGTACTGGGGTCGCCCCGTGTGCTGCTATGCCGTTGCTAGCGCTTCACCCTGGGCTGCTGGCCCAACTGCCCGCGGTGCGAGCGCCTGGCGTTGCAAGCATGTCAGACCCGCCCTTTCACCCAGAAGAGGTGCGCGCTACATACTGGTAATGAGGCAGCCACAAGGACGCTCTTCCCTAGGTGGTTGAGCCGTGGTGATGTGGTGCACGAGACCGCCAGTAGTAGTAGTAGTAGTAGTAGTAGTAGTAGTAGTAGTAGTAGTAGTAGTAGTAGTAGTAGTAGTAGTAGTAGTAGTAGTAGTCGTAGTAATCGTAGTCGTAGCCGTAGTAGTCGTAGTCATCGTAGTTGTACTAGTCGTAGTAGTAGTAGTAGTAGTAGTAGTAGTAGTAGTAGTAGTAGTAGTAGTAGTAGTAGTAGTAGTAGTAGTAGTAGTAGTAGTAGTAGTAGTAGTAGTAGTAGTAGTAGTAGTAGGGCTGTCCGGGGTTATTGTTCCGCATCAAGAGGGTGTAAAGGGTGTAAGTGTTCGGGTTCGAGTTCGGGCTCGGGAACGCGCGCGAAACAAATCAACAAAACATGTGCACACCATGTATTTACAACGACACTGTGGCGAATTGCTCCCCATTAAGACCAATCTAGAAATGGAGCTTTTCCCAGCCGTCAAATCATTCCTTCAGATCGCGAGTTGCTTCCCTATTCTTTCCCAGACGCCAGAGCATTCCTTCAGAGTCCTTTCAGATCACTATGGGGCTACGAGCCGTGTGAGAAGTGTGCCGACATGATCCGCGGAGATGCATGTAAACCCTGCCGCTGGGGCCTTCGGTGGGGCTCCCAATGTGGCCGCGAACCGTTTGAGTGGCGTGCCGACATGAAGCGCGGGGACGCATGAAAATCCTGCCACTTGGGCCTTCGATGCACCTCCCTATGGGGCCACGAACCGTGCGAAGGGTGCGCAGAAATCAATCGCAGGGACGCTTGCAAACCCTGCCTTTAGATTTTCGGTGGAGCTCCCTATGGGGCCATGAACCGTGCGGAGGGCGTACCGAAATCAGTCGCGGGGACGCATTTTAACCCTGCTACCACGGCGTGTGGTGGAGCTCCGTATGGCACCACGAACTGTGTGACGGGTACGCCGACATGAATCGAGGGGGCGCATGCAAACCTGCCAGTGGGGCCTGTGGTGGAACTCCCTATGGCGCCACGAACCGTGTGAGAGGCCTGCCGACATGAATCGTGGGGACCCCTCCCACTGGGGCCTTCGGTGGAGCGCCCTATGGGGCCACGAACTTTGTGACGGGCGTGCCGAAATTAGCCGCGGGCGCGCGCGTAAACCTTGCCACTGGGGCCTTCGGCGGAGCTCCCTGCGATGCCACGAACCGTTTGAGGGGTGTGCCGGACTTGCGGTGGGTGCACGGCTTGCGGTGGGTTTGCGACCACCAAAGTTGGACCTAAACTTTAAGGACACTGTCTTCCTGCTCGCAATCGCAACGAGCGGCGGACACTTTTCGAAGGTGAGCTTCCTGGGCCATGTCTGCGTTTGAGACTCCCGCCAGAGCCACTCTCCTGTCTAGGGGGTATGATGGCGCGGGGTCATGGTCAGACTAATCCCAGGCTGCCGCCTTTCCCGCCCTGGCAAGTGTTCTTGCATGCTGACTAGATGGCAACTGAGAGCTGAGAGCTGAGGGAGGGAGGGAGGGGGGGGGAGGGAGGGAGGGAGGAGGGAGGAGGGGGAGGGAGGGAGGGAGGGAGGGAGGGAGAGAGGAGGAGTCTTGTTTTTGGACTCAGCGTTCACACCTCTGTGACTCGACATGGGAGGTCGAGCTCGCCGAGGACCGCCAGCACGAGCACCCAGACGAAGTAGAGCCGCAGCACGAGAGGGACGTACAGCTGCACCCCGATGAAGGCGAGGCCACCATTATGCCATGACCGTCGGCGACGAATTGACCACACGCAAATACCCAGTACAGTCCACCGCGTGCAAGCCCACGAACGGGAGCCACACACAATACCAGGAAGCCCGTAGCCACCATACAGTACCAGGAAGCACCCACATGGTGGAAATCAGCATTTCAGTACGACATGAACCGTACCAGGAACGGGGTGAAGAGCTCAGCGTGAAAACGACGCATGCACTACACGAGCATTGCGCAGGACAGCCTCCGAATCAGCAAGAGCCCATGAACTCATCCGATGACTCGCCAAAGGTGTCGCCCTTCGGTCAAACATGGAGAACAATGCAGACACGATAACTACCCTGATTGCCTTGATGTCTTGCCAGGAGGCCTTCCCCAGGAACAGCAGAAAAAAAGGCCCCGCGGAACCCAAGATGGAACAGCGAGAGTGGACGCGGCGATCTCCTCCAGCGGCTCCATGCTGCTCGGGGCACCGTGGCAACTCGCAGCGACGAGCTCCTCTGCGACGAAGCCCTGCATAGTCTGCGAGTTTACCTGCACTTGCGTTTTCGTTTCCGCCCTCACAGCCGTCAGCCGCAGGGGGAAGGGTCCCCACGGCTGGATGCTGGGCACCCGCCTCCTCGATGTCCGCCTGGATCTCCCTCACGGCCGCGTTCTCGTAGCGAGGAGCCTCCACGGTGAAGGCCGATGGGACGAAGACGGGCGCCCCCATGCGCAGCTTCCTCTCGAACCCCCCCGGTGGAAACGGACTTGTGCAGCGCGAGCCTCAAGCCGCCATCCATGCTTGGCGCGGCGCAGCTCTGCTGGCCTCGCCGTCGCCACGTTGATTCTTCGCGCGTCAGGGTGCAAGGCATCATTGCGGCGGAGAGCCTGCAGCCGGTGGATATCTTGCAGGCCAGGGAGCATAGCCTGCAGCCGGTGGGCGACCTCGTCGCTGCCGACCAGGCTGCCTCCATGCAAGGCCGTCTCGGCTGCCTCCATGCTTCCGCGGACCCGCGAGAGCTCCTGCGACAGCCTCGCGATGGCGTTGTCCGCCGACCAGCGTGCTCAGTCACGACCAGCCTTCAAGCCTTCCGCTGTGCCGCTCAGCGCCTCGGCGCGCACTCCGCGCCGTCCCGTGAAACCATATCCCAAGCAGCGGCAGTCAACCTGAAGCAGCTTCAACTCTGGCGCGTCATGAGCGACCGGCTTGAGCAATAGGGGCTTCGCTCGTTGACGAGCGGCATGAGCCAGAATGGCTACGGAGGGGAGGAGGAGGACGTGCAGGTGGAAGAGGGAGGACGAGAAGGAGGTCGAAGAGGACGGCCAGGACGCACCTTCAGGATTGGCCTGCAGGCACAGTCGCAGGGCCAGGGAGCTGCGAGCGAGAGCGTGCGTCGCGTGCGGCGTCAGGTGCAGAAGTGGCGGGGGGCCCCTGCTCCTCATGCGTCGCCTCGCAGCAGTCTGAGCTCAAGGCGGGAATAGGCCGCTACGGCTGGAAGCCGCAGCCGTCCGTGGAGTCGGAGAACAAACGGCGGCAGAAACATTGACTGTCGGAGGCCTTCGCGGATTTCTTGCATCTGCGCTGGACCCGCCGGCGGCGCCTGGCGCCGCCCCTGGTGCGCTCCGCGCGCCAGGGAGGGGGGCCCAGTGCAGATCCGAGAACTCCGGGCGGACCTTGGAGCGTTTACGCTTGTGCAGTTTTTGTTCCACTGCGGAGGGCACCTGCTGCACCGCCGCCGTGCCACGGTCAGGGCCACCCAGGGCCTTGGGGATGAGGTGTGCAGACCCCCCCAGGTGGGGGTACAGCTGGGCCTCCCGGAGACGGGTCGGAGGATCTCGTCGCAACGCCGATGCATCGGCGATGCGGCTCGAGGTTGTGCCCGATGTTCTTCACGCCGACGTCGCCGAGGCATCGCCGACGTCGCCGATGTATTGGTTACGCATCGGTGATGGCGCTGAATTAAGGCACGGTTGTTCCTGAGGTCCTTCCACGATTGTTCCTCTGACGCTCCTCGTGCACCCAGGTGCCTTTGGGGCCAAAGAACGGCTCCGTTCCTTATTGCTCGTTCCTTCCCGTACTAGCCTGCCCGGTATGATTACGCGGCGCCAGGGCCCAGGGTGGACCTGGCCAGACATGGTGGTGGTCTACCAGGTGGTTTCCTGCAGAAGTCAGCCGATGATCTCCCTGGTGCGGTGATCGGCCTCAGTGCCGTGAGGCGCCCTCGGCCCTCGAGTCAGCTGCACTTCTGCCCTCCTCGCTCGCGCGCCCAGGGCCCCGCAGATGCCCGGCGGCAGCCGCTTCAACCAGGGCGGCACAGTCGATTTCAAGGGCTGGCTGCCGCCGCCCGACGGGGGCGAGTTCTGTGCCGGCGAGCCCGTGGAGTATTGGAGCACGACGCACGGCAAGTGGCTGTGTGCCCGCGTGCTCCGGGCGAACCTGGACGGCTCCCTCGACCTCGACTGCAGGGCTGGGGCCTCGAAGGGGCAGGTTCGCAGGCCGGATGCGGCTGCTCGCGCTGTGCTGCAAGAGGCCCCCGCACAGCCCGCCTTCTCGATCGGAGAGCTCGTCGAGTACTATAGCACGACGTACAACGGGTGGGTCCAAGCCGTGGTGATGGCCTTCTGCAACGGTTTGTATACGCTCAACTGCAAGCCCGGTGTCCCGCCCGAAAGGGTGCGGCGCATCGACGGGCAGCCCAGCGTGCAGCCCCACGCGATGCCTCTGGCGGGTGCCGCTCTCCAGCAGGCGCCGCCACTGCTCGCACCGCCGGCCATGCCGCGCAGCGACCAGGCTGGACCGTCGGGCCAGGCCGCGGTTGGCGTCGGCGATGGATTCCCGTGCGGCGAGCAGGTCGAGTATTTCAGCTCCACGCACGGGAGGTGTCCGAGGGCCCCAGAAACGGCATGAGCTTGTGGAAGTCGATTCACTGGCAGGACGCATGCTGCCGAATACTTTCCAGATGTCTAAAAAATGCTTCAAGCATGTTTTACATATGTAGAAAAAACATGTGTGAAACGTTTTTTTAAAACATGTTCTACACATGTTGCACACATGTTTGAAGCAATGATCGGGTTGTTAGAGTGTCCATTGTCACGGCAACCACAAGCATGAGCATACATGTTCGGACGTCCGCGCGGGCTTCTCGGGTCGGCGCTGGGCACCCCCACCTCTCTGGCCGGCCCGCGGCGCCAGTGGCGGCGCCCGAGACGCCGCCAGGGGGGGCCCAGCGCCGACCTGGGAATCCCGAACGAACCTCCGAGAAGCGTTGTCTGTGCGGCGCAGCCTCACCACCCACCAAAGCACCCCAACCCAACCCGAAGGCCCAAACTTATCCTCGATTTCCAGTGGGGGGGGGTCGGGGAACGCTGAAAAGACACATGGCATCCGTACCCCCCCCCAACCCGAAGTTCGGGTCAAGTTCGGGTCTCCGGGTTGGGTTGGGGTGGTCTTGGTAGGCAGTCACAGCCCGCCCTCCTGGTGAGGTGGCTGTCCACCGCCGTCCTCGGGCAGAACGCCGACGGCACCGTGGACCTCGCGTGCAGGTCGGGGGGCGCAGGGGGAGGGGCTCGCGGGGGGTGGCGCAGTCGACCCCCCCATCGTCCATGGATCGCCGACATGGGGGCCCGAGAGCCCACCCTCCGCCTCAAGAGCGTGCGGCTGCGCCCTCGGGAACATGCCGCCGATGGGTCGGCGACGCGGCGCCGATGGCAGCTCGACGCTCTCCCCCGGAGGAGTCGGAGTCGGGGTCGGAGGAGGAGGAGGAGGAGTCGGAGGAAATTGAGGAGGAGGAGGAGGAGCAGGAGGAGGAGGAGAACGAGAAGGGGCAGGAGGAGGAGGAGGAGGAGGAGGAAGAGGAGGAGGAGAAGGAGGAGGGGGAGGGGGAGGGGGAGGGGGTGGGTCCCCCCCCCCGAGCTTGTCCCCTCGACAGGGCCGCCGCGCTGCCGCAGAACATCCGCCGGCCGGCGGCGGCGCCCGTGGCCTCCGCCAGCCCTCGCCAGCCGCAGGCCAGGGCTCGGGCCGATCCGATTCGATACCGATTCGGGCTTCTCCTCCTCCTCCTCCTCCACAATTACACAATATGAAAATACTCTCCCACTTCCCCTGATGGCGTCCCGAAGATATCCGACCCCCCCCCGCGTACTGTTTTTCCCAACCATCCTGTGGTGTTGGGTCCTCGTTTTGAAGAGACAGCGCCCCGCGTCTCCTCTCCTCTCCTCTCCTCTCCTCCTCCTCCTCTCCCCCCTCCTCCCTCCTCCCATCGCCGTCATCATACTCATCGTCATCATCGTCATCATCATCATCATCATCATCATCATCATCATCATCATCATCATCATCATCATCTCATCATCATCATCATCATCCTCGTCATCATCACCACCAGCATCATCATCGTCATCATCATCGCCATCGCCATTAGTTCCCAACCATCCTGTCATCATCACCACCAGCATCATCATCGTCATCACCACCAGCATCATCATCGTCATCATCATCATCATCATCATCATCATCATCATCATCATCGCCATCGCCATTAGTTCCCATTTCCGCACACCCCTCACACGTTTCGTGGCCCCATAGGGAGCTCCACCGAAGGCCCCAGTGGCAGGGTTCGCATGCCGCCCCCGCCCCACTTTGGCACACCCCTCACACGTTTCGTGGCCCCATAGGTAGCTCCACCGAAGGCCCCAGTGGCAGGGTTCGCATGCCGCCTCCACCCCACTTTGGCACACCCCTCACACGTTTCGTGGCCCCATAGGTAGCTCCACCGAAGGCCCCAGTGGCAGGGTTCGTATGCCGCCCCCACCTCACTTTAGCACACCCCTCACGCATTTCGTGGCCCCACAGGGAGCTCCACCGACGGCCCCCGTGGCAGGGTTCGCATGCCGCCCCCACCCACTTGTGCACACCCCTCACACGTTTCGTGGCCCCATTGGGAGTTCCACCGACGGCCCCAGTGGCAGGGTTCGCATGCGTCCGCGCCACCCATGTCGACACACCCTTGACACGTTTCGTCGCCCCATAATGAGCTCCACCGAAGGCCCCAGTGGCAGAGTTGGCATGCCGCCCCTCGCCCACTTCGGCCCACCCCTCACACGTTTCGTGGCCCCATAGGGAGCTCCACCGAAGGGGCGCCAGTGGTTGCGTTCGCATGCGTCCCCACCACCCATTTCGGCACACCCCTCATACGTTTCGTGGCCCCATAGGGAGCTCCACCGAAGGCCCCAGTGGCTCCCCACCACCCATTTCGGCACACCCCTCACACGTTTCGTGGCCCCATAGGGAGCTCCACCGAAGGCCCCAGTGGCTGCGTTCGCATGCCTCCCCACCACCCATTTCGGCACACCCCTCACACGTTTCGTGGCCCCATAGGGAGCTCCACCGAAGGCCCCAGTGGCGCGGTGCCTATGAGAAGAGGGGCCTAGTTTGCGTGCCCCCTCCTTCGTCTCATATCCGTGCGGTACTCGCAGCTGCATATGGTTGGGTCCTTCGCCAGGCTAATTTTACACAGGATTCCCGGGAAACGGGTTTTCGCCTGCGTTTTTTCCAAAATGCTGCTCTCGCTGAGGCGCCGGCTTCATTTCTGCTCCCGAATCGTTCCGAATCGTGCTCCCGCTGCAGCGTGGGCCTCATTTTCGGATCGGTGTTTGGCCTCCGTCGTTCAGGATGGCGTTCTCGCCCCAGCGCGGGCCTCTTTCTCGCGCGCCCATCCGCCCGCCACCACCGCGCCGCACCGCCACCACCACCACCACCACCACCACCACCACCACCACCACCACCACCACCACCACCACCACCACCACCACCACCACCACCACCACCACCACCACCACCACCACCACCACCACCACCACCACCACCACCACCACCACCACCACCACCAACCACACCACCACGCACACACGCACGCACGCGCACGCGCACCACCACCCACTACGCACGCGCGCGCGGAGCCACAGGTCCGCTACGACACGCGTCCGCGGATAGAGAAAATCAGTGCCATGGTAAGGGATGGGAGGGTGGGGTAGGACGTCATATATGACGCGAGCGCACCTAGCTTGTCCTCCTCCCCCTCCTCCTCCCCCTCCACCACCCCCTCCCTCCTCCCCCTCCTCCTCCTCCTCCTCCTCCTCCTCCTCCTCCTCCTGGCCCGATCCGATCCTCTGCCGGTATGCCGACGATCCGTTGCGGCCCGATGCTTGCAAGGCGCTTCGTGCATCCTGGCGCAGCCGAGCCGATCTGATTCCGATTCCGCGCCGGTGCACATGTCTCGAGGAAGGGAAAAAACGGCATAAGCATTGACTTTTGACGGTCCGCGCGGATGTCTTGGATGTGCGTTGGGCTTCACTCGGCGCAGATCCAAGGCATCCGAGCGGACCGTCAAGAGTTTCGGCATATGCAGTTTTTGCTGCGCCCCCAGATGCAGATTCTCGGACGGGGCCAGGACGAGGGCAGTCCGCTCCAGAGCTTCCTGAAATGCTCTCAGGGCGTTCCGGAACGCTCCGAGAAGGTCTCGGCGCCCGAGGTGCCTTCCAGAGCCGCATGATCTCAGAGATGCTCGATCCATCCTCGCCCGATTTTTTCTCCTCGTCCTGGCCTCGTCTTGCTCTGGATGCGCACTCCGCTCCGCTGCGCGCTCCCAGCGGGGGGACGAAGTCTATACATATCCACTGCTCCCTGGCCAGGCCCTTCCTGAACCCAGGAGCTGTGTATATACGCCCTCCTGGCCAAACCAGGAGGGCGTGGCGCATACACAGCTGCCGTGTTCAGGAGGGGCCTGGCCAGGGAGCAGTGGATGTGTGTAGATTGCGTCGCCCTATCCCAGCCGATCCCATGCTGGCCGCGCCTGGAAGAGGAAAACCACCGCGAATAATTCGCGATAGTTTCCCCCTCCCAGACGCGGCCGCAGCCACAGCCAGAGCCGCGGCCGAGCCGATGCCGGCCGCTGCCGCGGCAGGCGCCCGCGTGCCCGCCGGCCGGCGCCGCCGGGGCGCCGCCGCTCCGCGCCTCCGAGGGCGTGGAGCACTCCAGCGCGGCCCACGGCAGGCGCGCGCCGTGCGCCGCCGCCGTGCGCCGCCGTGGGTGCGGGCGCCCTGCTGCTCGTCGTCGTCGGCGCCCGCCTCCTCCTCCTCCTCCTCCTCCCCCTCCTCCTCCTCCTCCTCCTCCTCCACTTCCTCCTCCTCCTCTTCCTCCTCCTCCTCTCACCCCACCCCTGCGCACGCGCACGGATCGCACAGGGGTCCCAGAGTCGGGGGAGAAACAGATACGGATACGTGCTGTCCCCCGTCGTTTTCGGCCTTTCCTGGTCCTCCTGGGGAGTCCTCGTTGTCACCGCTGGATTCGCCTCGACATTCTGGTCAGAACGCACCCCAAGAGAGGTCCAGGGACAACACGTATCCGTATCTTTCCGCCCCCCAACAGAGCGCGGCCACACGCAGTCGGAGCCCCGAAGCATCAGGGGTAACTCGGGTCAGGGCCAACTCGGGTTCGTGTTCGGGAGGCCGAGCCCGAGTTGTCCCGGACCCGAGTTACCCCGGATGACTCGGGCGTCCAGAGCCCCGAATCATCAGGGGTAACTCGGGTCAGGGCTAACTCGGGTTCGTTTTTCAGGAATCCAAGCCCGCGTTACCCCGGACCCGAGTTATCCCGGATAACTCGGGCGCCCAACGCAGGGGGGTGGGGGGGGGGGGCAAAGGGCGGAGGCGGGGAGGCTTCTTAGAGGGAGGCTGCTTCTTGGAAGGCGCGTGCCTCATCTGTAGACGTGTGGCCAGCGTCTTCTGAGAGGCAGCCTCCTTCGAAGAAGCCTTCCCCCCTCCCTCTGCCCCCTTGTGCGCGCCGCCGAACAGCGCATCCTGGGCTCCGGCCCAACCGCCGTGCTCTCGTGGGTCCGTCCTTCTGGACGTCTTCTGGCGCCTCGCCTCGCTTCTCCTCACGGCAGGCGCACTCGCGTGGCCCACGAGGATGGGGGCAGGGAGCGCCTGCGGCTGGCGGGGGGGACTCGAAGGCGACACAGCAGATCAAGCGAAGCCCGTATGCCCGCAGGGGAGCGGCCACTTTGGGCACAGGTGGGAAAAACAGCCACACGTTGCGGCCAACGCACTGAGCAGTAATTACGGAAGAGGGCGAGGAAACGGAGGAGGAGGAGGAGGAGGAGGAGGAGGAGGAGGAGGAGGAGCTAATATCTGGGGGCGCTATGCGCGGATTTCTTGGGCCGGCGCAAGGGAGGGGGGGTCCAGCGCCGATCCAAGAAATCCTCGCGGACCTCCACCAGTTTATGTTCATGCAGTTGTTTGTTCCTCAAAGGGGGGAGGAGGACGGGAGGGAGGGATGGGTTTGGTACGGTAGGTTCGCGTCGTGTCGACCAGCGGCGACCCCGCCGCCGGCGTTCAGCATTGAACGCCACCGTCGACCCATAATCGGTCGATGTTGAACGATCTGACGTTTCGGGAACGATCGATCGTTCAAGGTTGAACGATCCCCGAGGTGTCAGAAAAGCAACGCTGGTGTCGGCACGACACGAACCTGCCGTAACAAAACATGCGAGCTTTGTGTACCATCGCAAATCCGTGTTTAGAGTGCAAGAGCATTGACCAGCGTCTGGTAATCGATGCGATAGCGTCGATCAGCGCCGATTTAGCTGGGATTCGCGTTGATTCGCAAGAGCCAGCGGGATGGTATGTGAGACTCCCATGAGTCGCCGCAGAAGGTTGGAGGGGGGACGAGGGACAGAGGAGGAGGAGGTGGAGGAGGAGGTGGAGGAGGAGAAGGAGGATGGCCACGCCAGGATGACCTCATGTCCCATATCTGCGTGTACATCTATAGAGAGGGATGGCAAACAAGAGAGGATGATGAGGAGCAGGAGGATAAGGCTGCGCAAGACGAGGAGGTGCAGGAGCAGGAGCAGGAGCAGGAGCAGGAGCAGGTGCAGGAGCAGGAGCAGGAGGGAGGAGCAGGAGCAGGAGGGAGGAGCGTGGAGCACGTCCGCACGGCCCGCGGCGGGCGCGCGCGCATCTTGGTCGGGGGGCAGGCGGGCGGGGAGGCCTCCTCCGCTGGGCACGAGCGAGTTTGGGGTTCGGACAGAGTTCGGGCCGGGCAAAAGGGGGGGATCGGGAAAGGGGGGGTTACGAAATTTGCTGCATGCAGCTGGTTTCGGCCTCACCGAGGGGCCCATTCCTCGATACATGGCCGCCTCCGGCGCCGGGAGGCGCCGGGAAAATCAGCTACGTGAGCTGATTCTCAAACCCCCCCTTTGCTATCCCCCCCTTTCGCCCGACCCGAAGAGTGCCTGGCATCGCTCGGGCGTGCGCGTTTTTTTCTCGGCGAGGGACATCGAGGAGCATCTTGGAGCGTCTCGCGAAAAAAAAAACACGCACGGCATCGAGCAATGCGCACGGGCAGTGGACGTCTGAGCGATGGCGAGCGTGGGGTCGGCGTCGCGCGAGCGGGGGAAGTGGGGAGCAGGAGGTCCTCTCAGAGGGCCGCGGGGCTTCTCAGAGGCCCTCAGAGGTCCTCTGACAGGTCTTTAGTGTCTTCGGGGGAGGCCTAAGACAACTCCTCGGAAGTCTGGAGGGCCTTCGAGCCTAGAGAGAAGGCCCGCCCCTCTTTCTTACCCCCCCTCGCATGGGCACGATCGGGGAAACGCAGCACTCGAGTCCGCCGGAGCTCGGGCTTGCCGACGCCTTTTGATGAGCCCGTCCTGGACTTTGACGGTCCGGTTTTCGTGTGACGTTTGCAGCGGGGGTTCACGCCAGGTTTCAGACGGAGTCTCATCATTTTCTTGACGGCTTTGCCAAGCCAACCTGAGTCCCCAGAACCTGAGTCTTACGTCTCCCCAGAAAGAGCGGGGAAGGACCGTCAGCCGTTCCTGTCCTTTTTGATCAGGACTCGCTGTCGGTGCCGCCGTGGACTTCGTCCACTTGAGACACAAGATCGCCTGCCCAGCAGCGGCCGCTGATTGAGGGTCGTGCGAATCTTGTTCCGTGCCCCTTGCGGGCGTGCCAATCAGAGACGGGCTTGGGCAACGGTACTCCAGATTTCGTAATAAAAGGGAGGGGGTCTGGACCCTCCAAGACAAGCCATTTCAGACCCCCCCCGTGGGAGAACCCTCCAAAACATCGTCCCCAGACCCCCCCAGGCCCTCCAAGATAGTTTGGAAGAGACCCCCCCCGAAATGAGACCCCCCTCCCTTTATTACGAAATCTGGAGTAAGAGTCGAGGCGTGACGTTTCCGGGAGCTCTTCGCCTCTTTCTCACCTCGCGCAGGCTCCTCGTCGCCACCGCTGGATCCGCTCAGAAAGCCTGCCGAGGGCGCACCCCGCAACGGGTCCAGTGGCCGACTTTTGACAGGATGGTCAGGGACAACACTCGGAGGGGAGGATGGCCTCAGGGGGGGATGCATCCACCAAAAGTCGCCCATCCGTCGCCGATAGGGGCCCGATGGCCCACCCCGCCCAGGAACGCTTGGGTGCTCTGTCGGGGGCATATCGCCGATCTATGGGCGATGTATCGCCGCTTCCGGCCCGACGTCCCCCCGAGTTGGTCCCCTTTCTCTCGGACGAGGGCCAGTCGAGATGACGGTGGCCCCTTTCCAGCGTTTTTTTTTGACACTCAGGGGCCTCCCGGAGGGCTTCCCGTCGCCACGGCTGGACCCGCCGCGAGACGCGGGTCAGCATCGCCCACATGACGGGTCGGGGACCGATTTTGAGCGGCTGGGTGCCGGGTGGGAGAGCCATGATGAACCAACAACACACCCATACCCATAGGGGGGTCGGAAAGGGCTATGGGTGCGTGTTGTCGGATGGGGGTCCCCGCTCGAACGGGAGCGTTCCCTAGGGTCCGACAACCCGCACCCATACCCATAGCCAGTCCTCCTCCCAACGACCCCCTTAAGGGTATGGGTGTGTGTGTTGTTCGCTCGTCAGGCCACGTCGCACCTGTCTTGTCTCCGGTTTCCGGGGACGGGGGGCCCTCCGAGGGCCCGTGGCCGAGCGCGCAATCCGTGCCGCAGGTGGATTCCTGGCGTGGTGCTCGGCGTGAACGCCTCGGGCAACTACGACCTCAACTGCAAGAGCGACGCCCAGCCTGGGCTGCTGCGCAGGCAGGCCAGCAGTGGAGGGCCACCGCTGGAGCTTGCCGCAGGCTCCGCGGTGCTCGACGACCACGGCGGCGGCGGCTACGACGGCGAAGAGGGATGAGGATGAGGGGGGGGACTAATGTTGGAGATGAAGCGGGAGAGGAGAGAACGAGAAGGAAGATAAGATGAGAAGAAGGATAACAACGAAAAAGGAAGTGTAGTCGTAGTCGTAGTCGTAGACGTAGTAGTCGTAGTCGTAGTAGTAGTCGTTGTCGAAGTAGTAGTAGTAGAAGTAGTCGTAGCAGTCGTAGTCGTAGTAGTAGTCGTAGTCGTAGTCATAGTCGTAGTAGTAGTAGTAGTAGTAGTAGTAGTAGTAGTAGTAGTAGTAGTAGTAGTAGTAGTAGTACTAGTACTAGTACTAGTACTAGTAGGTAGTCGGATAGTAGTAGCAGTATTAGTAAGTATCGTAGTAGTAGTAGTACTAGTAGTAGTAGTAGTAGTAGTTAGTAGTAGTAGTAGTAGTAGTAGTAGTAGCAGAAGGTATTAGTAGTAGTAGTAGTAGTAGAGTCGTAGTCAGTAGTAGCAGTAGTAGTAGTAGGTAGTAGAAGGTAGCCAGAGTAGTAGTAGTAGTCGTAAGTAGTAGTTGTAGAAAACTCGTAGTCGTAGTCGTAGTCATAGTCGTAGTCGTAGTCGTAGCTCGTAGTAGTAGTAGTAGTAGTAGTAGTAGTAGTAGTATGCAGTAGTAGTAGTAGGATAGTTCGTATAGTTCGTTAGTAGTAGTGGTAGCAGTAGTAGTAGTATAGTAGTAGTAGTTAGTAGTAGTAGTCGTAGTGAGTAGGGAGTAGTAGTCGAGTTAGTAGCAGTAGTAGGTAGTAGCCTAGTAGTAGTAGCCGTTTAGTCGTCGCAGTAGATGGTAGTAGTAGATAGTAGTATAGTAGTAGTTAGTAGTAGTAGTAGTAGTAGTAGTAGTAGTAGTATTCGGAGTCGTAAGAGTAGGTAGTATGAGTAAGTAGTAGTAGTAGTAGTT